ATTACCAATAATTTTCTTACCTTTTTATCTTTCTCTCCAGTTTGTAAATAGGCAGTTTGTTTTGGAGAGCACATACAGTACTGGCGATAAGGAACAAAGAGAGGAATGGAGTGCGGAGATGGAGGTAAGCTGCTCTAGAAACTGCATTTCAACCTATGTAGACTTATTTTTGCCCCTTTTTCTCATTTGTGTATGGATTAGTACATCAGTGGTTTTCAGCCTTTTTGACTCCAAATGTCTAAAGCCTATTGGATCTGTTACAGGTGGTTAACTCCATGCAGCCGGTTCAGACCGCCCCCACCCCTGTCGTCCCAGAGCCCCATCCTCTGACCACAGTAACTCCAACACCCCCTTCAGACCCTGTGGTTAGACAGCAGGTGGTTCAGGATCTCATGGCACAGATGCAGGGACCGTACAACTTCATGCAGGTGTTTTTTTTTGTTTTTTTTTTGCAGGTCTGTCTTATTTGGCGTATGTTTGCATGCATGCTAAATGCTCTTTTTGTTTCCAGGACTCCATGCTTGATTTTGATGGACAGTCTCTTGATCCGGCTATTGTATTGGCGCAACCTATGAAGCCGGTCCCTAGTATGGAGATGCCGCCGATGGTGTGTCAACCAGGTATGTTCATATTTCCACCACATGGTCATTCAGTTAGCTTTATGGGTTAACCATTTTAAATCAACCTAACTTTGTTGGGCTTTGATTTCTCAACCTGCAGCTCACCCAGAGTCTTGTCTCGCCCAGCCTCATGCTGTAGGCGTTCAGCCTGAACCCACACAAGTGAGTGTAGCCAAGTTCTTCTGGATGGAAATGAGTTTGCTGAACTGTCTGGAAAAGAAAGATGAGAGTATTGACTTTATATCTGTGTAAAGATAAGAGTGTGAATTTACTTTGTTTGCAGATCCCCATGGCCTCTACATCACCAGAAACCTTCTCCACACCGCCTCCAATATACCAATCTTCTCACTCAGTTGATCCCCGACCACAGACGGACACCACTGATCCTATTCAGGCAAGTTATCAAGCACCCATTCGTTTCATGAATTCAATGAGTTCTCCAAATTATTTATTACTGTGTAGCTAGTATATGAGCTTTCTAATGTAACAATGTTTACTGCACAAAATGTGCATCAAGTAATTTTCGGCAATCAAAACCATTTTGTCCTCTGTAGGCCTCCATGCCCTTGACAGAGCAGCCGCCTCCATCTACGGTGCTCTCTCCTGCCTCCCAGACCCAGGTGATCCAGCCCGGATCCAAACCCTTGCACAGCAGTGGCATCAATGTCAACGCAGCCCCATTCCAGTCCATGCAAACGGTAACATGCCTGAATAAAAATAACTAATTGTTAAGAAGTTTTAAACTGGTAAAATCAGGATGACTCCTCTTTAAGAGGACACTCCACCCAAAAATTTAAGTTCTCTCATCTATGTTCTCTCATCTATGTACCCTCATGCCACCCTAGATGTCATGTGTTCATCTGAAGAAAGTCATATTCGTTTAGAAAAATAATAAATTTTTTAGTCCATTTAAAGCAAGTACACAGTAATTTCAATGTTAAACATGACTGTAATCTATACAACCCCAGTTTGTGATTAAATGTGTATATATGTATAAGAATAATATATATATAATTTTTTTTTTTTTTTTTTTTTT